AACAGATTTGCTTGTTTAGTAAATATCGAACGCGATATGGCCAGAGAAAAAGTGATATTTTGAATCCCAAAGAAGTCCGATGTTTTAAATGGCTCCAGACTAAGCAGGTAGAGCCCTCTAAGAACCACAAACAAGGTTATAGAAAATTTGGATTTGTCCGTCTAAAAAATCTATAGTGAAATATGAATCTAGTAAAACTAAAAAAATATTGTATTCATCCTTTGCCATCCTCTACCTCGAAAACTATTAAATTCGGGATAAGACAAATTTACATGAAACAGCATGTACAGTATGGCAGTGCATTTTGTCACTAAAGTGCCTAGTCACTAAAGGAGACGGATCTTGTTAGGAAAAATCGACATTTTTGCCCTTTGTAGGCATTTTAAAGAGCTTGGAAGTCAAATGCGCTCGATTAAGAAACTAGTTTTTTCAGTAACTTTTGAAAAATTTGTCAAAAATTAAAGAAAATTTCTGCACGACTAAAGCTGATGTCGCTTAAGAAGTCAGACTTTTATCCACATTCAAAATTTTAGCGCTTTCCTGCTCTTTTCTAAAATCAGAAAACTTCAAAAAAATGTAGCGAAACTCTTCAATGACGCTTGATAATTCAAGGTTCGATGCTTGAGAATTTTTGGATATTTGCATAAGAATTGTTATGCAAATATCAAAAAATTCATCTCTATACATTGGCAGCAGTTTGGTGGCGGTTAAACTTGAAACCCAGCGTGCGTTTGAAGCACGTATGTATTGAAAAACCAAAGTTTTTCCCGATATTCAATAAAAAATACGCTCGAGCTTCAGGTGTTTGAACCGATAAACAAACATGAATTTTGTCACATTTGTTGCGGACCACCCCGTATAGTTCGATTGTTGATTTGATTATCAGTATTGGCATCTGCGGATCCTAGTCAGCTGTTTCCATTTGGACGGAAAGTATAACTCGAGCGAATTTGAAAAATGCAAGGGGACAGTTTCTTTGTCCGGACCAGCGGAGTCCAAACAAAAAATCAATCTTGCAGGTTTTTATAAAAAAAAACGTTTAGCGGTGCCTTTATCTTAATCGTGGCGGATGTAGTTATCGATGTTTTGATTATGGCGCACTCAAATGGCGTTCAAGTGTAGATTTTGGATGCCAGTTCTTTTTCAAGGAAAATTCAAACTTTCAGCTCCTAGTTGCTAGAGCCTTCTCAACCCTTGTGACGAAAAGTTAAGACATCAGTTTTGAAAGTAAATTTTGGAAAATATCCAAAACTCAACCGAAATTTCTCATTCTTTGTGGGCACTTTGGGACAACAAAATTTTTAAATACCAAAATAGTTGGGCGCAAAATGTCAACTTACGACGTTACGATTCGTGCACTAAATACTCACGACGCTAATTCAACTGGAAGTTGCAAATGTTATACTTTGTCGACACCTTGGCAACATAGCTTGTAATTGTCTCCGAATGAGGCCCTGTGGGCAACCGCTTGTACGATTTGAATAAAGTAGGGGAATTACCATATAACTTGTATATAAGCAAGATGATATCTAGAACTTTATTGTTCAGCAAGCAGTGAGTGAAACACTAGTGCTTTAGCAACGGTAAACGACAAGCTCAGCTTAAGAAAATGGAGCAACTGCTACCTAAAAACGCGATTTTCCTGGATGAACTAGTGCAGCAGAAGTATCCGACCGTATCACTGGGGTTCGACAGAAACTTCCTAAACTTCGAAGGACTGCAAAATATTCAGCCCATGTGCTTTCGTTGCGGCAGCAGCAATATTGGCCCTAGGGTGCACATTCTGCGACTACAGAGTAACAAACCTTTTGTGAGAGATGAACTTGATGAGACGTATTACTGCGGAAGCTCCAATCACCTCATCTGCTGGTTATGCTTCCAGTACTGTCGTCATTGGGACGATCACAAACCTATTGAATGGTATTCTGCCGAAATGATGGTGTTACGAGAAATTAAATTCGAGTGTCAATGGCCGACTTGTAAGAAGATCTTCGGCGGTTCCACCCTGAAGGACCACGAAATCAGCTGCATTTTACAGCCGCGACGCCAATGTCCAGTGGATGGTTGCGGTTGGTCCGGTAATCTGGACGAAATTAAGAGTCAACACTTCAAAAGCCACGAAAACAGCATGTTGCTCTTCTGCAATGTGGCAAGGGATCTGCAACCGGGTAACGATCTCTATTTGCTGATACTCGGCAAGTTTGTGCTGGTTCGTCACGAAATAGAGGAGTTGGGCGAAGTCTTTGAACACGCTTTTACTCTGGAATTGTGCAAAGAGGAACCGGGAATTGTAAAACCAGTGGGATTAGTTACGGCCAATGGCGTACTACTGAAGCAGATTGAGGACGGCGATTTAGTGAAAAGCATTTCGAGACAAGTTCAGTTATTTGTATGTTTTAAAAATGTTTAATTTTACCCACAAAAACTTGTTTTGCATTGTACACTACTGGTAAAATTCAAACTTCAATGGCAAAACCAGAATTATTATTCCTTGATACATTTTCAATGTTTTAAGTAAGATGTAATGTTCGTAGATTATAAAATTAATAAACACTGAATTCATTCACACAATTGAATCCTCGTTCCAAGTAAAAATTTGATAATGCCGATAGGCATTAAACGTCGAAAGTACCGTAAAATCAATTCCATGCTGACAGTTTTCCTGCAAAGGTTGCTTAAAAATAGTAAAAATCGAAACTGCAAAAAAACACCACTACTGGAAAAGACCAGTCCAATCAATAGGAATGCTTTTAAAACAAACCTAAATGCCCGTTTTTGGGAATTATCATCTTTTACTTGAAGATATTTCTGCATTTCTACACATTATTGGGCGCTCGTTATAAGCTCAAAATACACACTAATCATCTTCAGTCTGAAAAATTCCAGACTATTAAGGGAAACACACACTTAGGTACTACCTACCAATTGGCAAACTTTATTCAATACAAGTACACTGTTATATCATCGGTATAATAAACTAGGAATTCTCAATACAATTCTGCAAAAGATCCCTATACAACCCCTTTCTCATCGCGTCCAGGTGGATTAGTTGCGTGTAAAGCTCAACAGCATAGTCTTTGACGTGCAACCGCTTCATCAGCCACCCTTTTGCCAGTAACACCCCTAAAGCATCAGTCAGAAGTGGGAAAATGCACCAAAAAAATCCACTTACATTTGCAGTCCGGTTCCAGTTCCTGCAGCTGCTCCAGAGTATCTAAAAGCTCCTGACAAGTTTCTTTGCCTAGGGCGGGATTTGTGACCACCCATTTTAGGTAGAACCAGGCACTGCTATCGCCAGGATCGGTAAAAACTGCATTTTTCACCAGCTCCAGCTCCTCCTCAATACACTGCTCGTTTAGCTGGATCAAAGTACTGCGGTAATGCCAGGAGGAGTAATTGGAAAAGTTGTTGTTAATGCGCTCAGTGGAGAATTTTATCTCCACGGGCAGCGTTATTCCGATTCGGTTCACCAGCTGCCTTCGGTAGTCCCAACAATGGACTGGAATTGAGCTGAATGAGGCCGAATGGCTCCTGAGCGGATTACTCACAATTTCGGTCATCCACACTGAGATATTTGGTGCAAAGGGCGAATTCCTGCTGCCAGTTAGGCTGGGAATGCAACATTAAAACCCAATAGCGATGGTACCAGGCGCTGTAGCTCTTTGGATTCGCTCTAAGACAATCTTCGGTTAAGCTAATCTCTTTTTCCAACAGTCCATCAAATGCTTTTAGATCAACATCACCATCCTCTTTTGCTGCTGGATCAGATTCTTCACTACAAAATTATTGCTTTCGCTAGATTTAGTCTTGATGGGTCACACCTACTATCTGTGTTTCTCGCGTAAAATCACCTCCTTGCGATAGTTCCATAAAGTGTAAATGTCTGGATTCGTCGAGAGCAGTCCGGCACATATTTTAAAGGATACTGGGTCAAAAGGGTCGCAATTCCGATGGAGCAGGATCTGAGACATGCTGGCCTTGTACTGAGTAAGTTGGTTGCTCTGTTTCAGCTCCTTTTCCGCCTTTTGCTGTGCGGTGGTTTTGATCTTCAACCTGCCGTGCTGGAAGAGCGTTGCCTAAGCTTTATGGATTGGAAATCAGACCGCAACATTTACCATTGTTGATTAATAAGGTGCACTACTAATTCTTTGGGCAACCTGGTCTTTGACTCTGGTCTCTTGAGACACTTGATGAGGGTTTGGAATACCACTGAAGCTCCTTACAGCGGCTGAGTTATCTTTCAAGTCTTTACAAAGCTTCGTTTATGGATTATCTGGACTACTAAAAGTGATTCTCTAATGTTGGCTTATTAGGGCTACCGGGAGGCAATATTATTTCAGCAATACTAGAGGGCTTTTTCTATTGAGCAAATTAATTAAATTTAAGCCCCGTAGCCGAAAAGGGTGGTATTTGTTTAACAATTAATACTTACCAGACTGTATGTGAACCACAACAATAACAGCAACAAAATTGTCATTGTGACACTGTCTGCCAGAGGGCATTAACCTAAAAAAAGCCAGTTGCGATGTTGCCCTACCGGTTTCAATTTAGAAGAAATAGGGACAACAAATGCCACTGAATAGTGGAAAGCTGGCAAAATTTTGCAATAGTTTGGCAACTGAGTGGTGAACAATGTTAACTAGAGGACATATTTGGCAACCAGGTGCACAGAGCAAAAAGGTTTTTGTGCTTTTAATTAACCCGATCTGATAAAATGTTGATATTTGAAAACTGATTGAGTTTAATTAAGTTAAGTTGCTGTTAGGTTCACCTTTTTGCTTGATTTATCGGGCGCTTTTGCCTACCACTCAAAGAGATCTTCGGCCTTCATCTATGCAGAAGACGCAGAAGTCATATTGACACCGGGGCCTCAGAAAGCAAATTTCCGTGTTTACACTCAAGGAAAATTAATTGTTTGGGACTTTTCAAGAGAAAAATGGGAGTTCCGAAATTTTTCCGCTATATCAGCGAGCGCTACCCTTGCCTGAGTGAGCTCGTGCGCGAATATCAGGTATTCCAGTCCGCCATATATCGTAGCGCTTTGGCCCCAAATCGGACTGTTCTAGATTCCAGAGTTCGACAACATGTACCTGGACATGAACGGGATCATCCACATGTGCTCGCATCCGGACGATAACAATCCCCATTTCCGCATCACCGAGGAGCGGATTTTCCAGGACGTTTTCCACTACATTGAGGTACTGTTTCGGATGATCAGACCCCAAAAGTTGTTCTTCATGGCTATTGATGGGGTGGCCCCGCGGGCCAAAATGAACCAGCAGAGAGGCCGACGGTTTAGGGCGGCAAAGGATGCGGAGAAACAGGAGGCCGAGGCGCAAAAAAAGGGCGAAACTTTGCCGAGCGAAGCCCGATTTGATTCCAATTGTATTACGCCTGGAACAGTATTTATGGCTCGGCTGCATGAGCAGCTGAAGTATTTCTGCGTGGATAAAATTTCCACTGATCCCCTTTGGAGGGATGTTCAAGTGATTCTATCTGGACATGAGGTGGTGATAGTTAGTTGAGACTTTTATATTAATTAACTATTGCCTGATCTTCGCAGACTCCTGGCGAAGGTGAACATAAAATCATGGATTACATCAGGTATCTAAGGGCGCAGCCCGGCTACAACCCCAACACGCGGCATTGCTTGTATGGACTGGACGCCGACTTGATTATGTTGGGTCTTTGCACACATGAGCCCCATTTTAGCTTGCTGAGAGAAGAGGTAGCTGCAGCTCCCGCTCAAGGCAAAGATAATATTCGGAGTTTTTAGGTGAAATTCGGCAAAAAATCCACCAAAAGACAGTCAGTTCCGGAGGAAATCACGTTTTTCCTGCTGCACTTGTCCTTAATGAGAGAGTACCTAGAGCTGGAGTTCAGCCCGGTCAGGAAGCAACTCAAGGGGTTTGAATACGATTTTGAGAAAATCATTGATGACTGGGTTTGTTGCCCAAATCTGCCGCCTTCAATGTAACTCATCCATTGCAATTATTGTAGGTTTTAATGGGGTTTTTAGTAGGAAATGACTTTATCCCTCACTTACCCAACTTGCATATCGCCAACGGGGCTCTGCCTCTCCTCTACAAGGCCTACATGGCAGTCCTTCCCACATTGGACGGTATTGCTCTGAAAAAAAAAGAAGTTTCTTCGGTTAATCTTTAAAAATTGCAGGCTACATAAATGAGGCAGGCACGTTGAATCTGGCAAGATTCGAAAAATTCATGCAAAAGTTGGCTGAATTTGATTTGGAGAACTTCGAAGAAGTCAGGGATGATTTAACATACATGGAGGCGAAGACTGGCAGAAAGTTCAACGCTCACACCAAAGTTTCGGTGGGGAAATTGTGAAAATGATGAATATTTCCTTAAATATCTTATCGCTTTACTTCTTCAGACTGTAAGGCAGCTGGAAGAATGGCAGGCGGATGAAAATGAAGAGGCCATAGAGCTGGAATGTCTTGAACCAAGGGCGAAACCTTCAAGAGACCCCGCTTTGGATGCTTTAATCCAAGCCACTGACGACCTAGTAAGTGCCCCCGGATAATTTTCCCTTCTTAGATCGGGGGTTGGCTATAGCCTTCCAAGCAATATTTGGGTTATTGTTGAATGTTTTCTGTTCCGCAAATTACAATGAACAAATCTAACATCATTTTCAATAAATTCTCCTTCAGTATTTTGACTGCTATTTGATATGGATCTGTTGCTTTTTCATTCCAATGTTTTCTGGAGGGAAACATTTTTTTGGCCGCACATCGCATTTGATATATAGCGATAATAAGATAGATTTTCTATCATTCATTCGTACACCGGATACTTCAAATGATCGGATATAGAAAAATCAAAAGGTGCCAAGTCGGGATATTCAGTCCAGGTCCGTAGACCGTTTAACTGAAATTAGCCAAATTCTTCAAAAAATTAACTAACTAGCAACAGCAGCTAACAAACATTCGCTGTCATTTCTTGAAACTGGTGAGTTCCAGGTTTTTATGCCGTGGTGAATTAGAATTTCTTCCTCACGTTTCGCATCAAGAGTGGATGGCATCTTCAGAAGCGGCTGGATCGAAAGCAGTACAGTGTAGCTCTGAAGATGCAAACCATTCGGGCAGGGAAACGTTAGGAAAAAATTCTGTTACACGACTTAGTTTGAATGTATAATACATTAATTGTTTCAATTTGCTGTTGCTTTCTATAATTAACTTTCCCTAAGCGTTTTTTAATAATACTTCTTTCTTTTGTTATTCAGTTCTTCACGTTGATCTATCAACTAAGTCTTCCTCTCCTATTTATGTTTTTACTTATCTCCTCTTTTGTTTCGCCTTATCTCTCGATTAGACCCAATATTTCTTCTGTTATTCGTTGTAAACCATTTACCTTGCACTTTTCTAAGTGTATTCAGTAGCTTTTTAATGTTTTCCGTTAGTCTTTGCTTCATGTGTTCTTCGATCTATTTTGCATTGTTGGACTTTTCTTAATTTACCCCTGATTTCATCCACTAACGTTCTAGCTAAAGCGATCGCATTTCAAAACCTTCTTCCGATTAATAGTCTTTGTTCAAAGTTTTGGTAGTTTTTGCATTAAGGCCTACTAGTTAACTTTAATCAACAGGACATAGACTCTAGTGAAGATGATAGTGACGATATTGATGAGGACGAGCGGGCTTTCCGCAACTACAAAAAGGAATATTACATGAACAAACTGGAATACGCAAACGTCACTCCGTAAGTTTGCTGAGTATCTAATTAATCCTCTCTAAGGCCGGGTTTTAGTGAAGTGCTGCGCAGCCAAGCCGAAGGCTACGTTAGAGCTATCCAATGGAACCTTCACTATTATTATAATGGCTGTTGTTCTTGGTCTTGGTACTACCCTCATCATTACGCGCCCTACATATCGGACATCAAAGGATTTGCCGATTTGAAGCTGGAATTCGAGTTAGGCAAGCCGTTTAGGCCCTTTGAGCAAGTAGGTGAACTTTACACGCCCCAGCCAGTTGTTTGATTGGCCATTCATCAGCTTCTAGCAGTGCTTCCGGCTGCCAGCAAAGCCCTTCTGCCGGAAGTTTACCACAAGCTGATGACGAGCGAGGAGTCATCAATCGGGAAATATTACCCAGAAGACTTTCAAACAGATAAAAATGGCAAACGGCAGGAATGGGAGGCTGTGGTTTTAATCCCTTTCATGGACGAGGTGAGGTTGTGAGGTTGCAATTGAAGACATTGTGGCCACTTTCAACATTTTCCAGAAACTGCTTCTTCAAGCAATGGCCCCTTGCAACAAGGAGCTAAGCGAGGAAGAACGACGAAGAAACAGTCAGGGCCCAATGTTGGCCTGTACCTACACAGCTGTGGATTTGGGCAAATACGACGCCCCACTTTACTTCCAAACCATCAATCACAACCACTGTAAAGTCAAACTGGTTAATATCGAAAACATCCGCGTCCCTATAGAAAATTTGGTAAAAGGCGCCTATCCAGGCGCCAATATGGACGTCTATTATCCAGGCTTTCCCACTTTGAAGCATCTGAAATATACCGTAAGCGCGCCAGAAGGGCGAAACTAGAGCTAAGGGTTTATTGAGCGTCTTTCCTAGGCCAAACTGAAAAAGTCCCGCGTCAAAGTCTTCGAGCAGCCGAGCCGGTACGAAAGCATGATCATCCAGGTACTGCAGGACGAGGAAAAGAATCAGGAAGAAATTCCTGTGGAGCTTTTAGGGGCAAATGTCTTTGTGGGATGGCCGCATCTAGTTGAAGGAAGGTAATGGACTTAGTAGTAAAAACCACTCAAATCTCTCAAACGCTTGAGTCAAAAGCAAATTTTTCCCCATTAAAGATGCGAGAAACTGTTTAACGTTAAGAACGTAGATTAAAACGAATTTTTGAGAACTGCTGTTCTCCAACCCCTTTCTTAGCCAATTTAGAAGCGGCTGATGCTCGCAGAGAGTGAATTCTCAGTTTTCTTGATTTGATCTCAGAACTGTCTTTTACCAATTTGTTTTGATCAGAAAGCGTATGGAAGCAAAATACGGAAAACTGCGCATATCATAAACTCTAGAGGCTTCGAAGCAAAACTTAACAAAAGTCAGCCTTTTATAAGTAAAACAAGTTATTTTCCTTTTAGAATAGTATCGATTTCAAACGCTAAAACGCGTTACGTGAGTATGGGAACCGCAAATCAATACAATACAGAAGACCAAAAGGATGCGTCGATGTTCCGCAACGAATCAGCCGGTATTATTGAGAGGTCAGTCGAAAATTCAACCATCATCAAATGATCGAAAGTAACAACTGATGACTTCCAGATACAAAAACCGGCTGGGGATCGAAGTGGGCGAAGTCAAAGCTATGTGCCAAGTTCAAGTGATGATAGGGAGAAAGTACGAACTCACCCCCAATGGCGCCCTAACGTTGGAAAAGCAATTTTCGGAATTCACCGCTAACTATCCCTTGCAAACCATCGTATCGGGCATCGAGAGCTACGAGTCGCATCGAACGTTGTTCCGCAATGTTCAGGACGTGTTCCCTGAGGGTGAAATCTGCTTCACTTTGGGCAATCCTTATTATGGGGCGCAAGGAATCGTAAGTCTATTCGGTTTCGATTAAATCCGGTTTCTACCACAATTGTGCCCTTCTTCTACCACAATTGTGCCCTTCTTCCCACCTTCCAGGTGATCGATACGAAAGAACTGGCGAAAATTGGACGGATTAAGGTGTGCGTTGTGATCTCAGATGAGCCGGATTTTGAAAGCGTGCGCGAAATCCAGAACGAAGTTGCCCGAAGCTATAGAACGCTGTATAATGCCGCTAGTATACTGGGTAAAAACAACCTCAACCTAACAGGTTTTTTTGCGGTTTCTTAAACACATTTTCCAGGAATGGCCCACTTCCTGTATTCCCGTGTGACGGGATCGATATTTGTTGAAACCCCCGACGGCGAAGGAGGTCTGAAGAACATCAACATCGGCCTCGACCTCAAACTCAACAAGAAGAACAAAGAAACACCTGGATATACCCGAAAACTGGCCAGCACTTGGTTATACACCGATAAGTGCACCGATTTAGTTCGGGAGTACGCTGAAAAGTTTCCCGAAGTTTTCGCCTACTTGGTGAGCAACGCTAGCAATGAAAACATCAACGTCGAGCATCTTTTCACTGGAGATGATTGGTGAGTGCAAAGGTGAAAACTTCGAACCCATCACTAGTTGAGCGATTTCAGGGATGAAAAGCTAAAAACCCTGCAAATATGGCTGAAAA